TTATCAGCAGTAAGCTATTTTCACCCCAGGACAGGAAGCTTGTAACAGTTACTGACACAATAGAGTGATTCCCTACATCTGGAACTTGCCTGCCTAAAACGCCAGCCTGAGCTTCTCCCCACAAAATGAGAACAGGGTTGCATTTTATCTCAGTCCCACAGTGCTACAAAATGGGTTTTGCCCAGAATCATTTTAACAACTAGCGCATGACCACCCCATCCATGTGCATACACTTAGGTCTGGAGAGTAGGGTCTCCTTATATCATGAAAATACCAGGATTGTTTCGTAAAGCTGGAAAGCAGGAATGGAAAATAGTTTTAGAGGCCGAAACTGTCCAGTTAAGTGCTTGCTGACCAAATTTTTATTGCCCAAGAACGTTATGCCTCATATACCTATTACTACACTCAAATCCTCCCTTGAGCCTGAAATATATGTATATATACACAATATATACTATATATACATATAATATACACATACATATATATACATAATATATATTATACATACACATAATATATACACATAACATATATGCACATAACGTATGTTATACATACACATATACACATGAGAATCAAAGGAATCTGGTTTTACATCTTATTAGTTAGAAGAAACAAATATATATTATTTCCTTCTAAATTGAAATTTTTTTTTAAACGCCTAATTTCTCAATTTTTCTTGCCGGTACAAATAATATTCTTAATTTCCTTATTTATTTTACTTCACATATGCATCATTTTTCTAGAAATGCTTCTCTATATCTTAAGAGCTTTGCTTATATTAGATGCTTAACATCATTTGGAGACAATCTTACTGATCTTGGACTTCATAAATCCCTAAACTAATTACTAATTTAATAGCAAATAATTTCCAACATAAATGAACAAGCCAGATTTTCATAGTTTTAAGAGAGAATTCTGTGTCCAGAGAAGATTAATATATAAGTATAAGGATTCTGTGTAACCCTGTAGTGGATACCCATCCAGAGAGCAGTCCTCTCCCAGCCCTGGTTGAACTGATGTCAGCAGAGAGCATCCTGCAAGGCAGTGTCTGTACTTATCAGTATGCTCCAGAGTCAGGCTCCTGCAATGAGCCAGACATTGAAAACCACCCTGACTTTGTAAATCTCAGGTGGGCCTAATGTAATAACAATTCAAGTAAAGACAATTTCCACACACTTTGTTACACAGACTCCCATGTCTTTTAGTAAAATATTGTACATATTCCATTTTTTTGAGTCGATCAAATACAAGCATGACTTCCCAGTGCTCTGACTGTACTCACATACACTTTAACAGCAAACTCTGCCTTCTCCTGATAATTGAGCTTCATAATATCACTCCATTTTATAAGTAGTATAAATGTTTACTATTTATATGATTAAATATACAATTATAACATTATATATTTATAATTTATAACATTTATATAATTTATATATCTAATTATAACATATATATTTAATCTGTGTCCTCAGACAGAATCACACAACCTGGAACTCGAGTACCTTCCTGACAACCTTGTACTGTATCTACATGATGAAATCTAGAAAGAGCTGGGAAAGACATACACGATTTGTCAAGACAGGAAGGAATGAATTTTCTGTAAATCAGATCCAGAGAAACAAGTTGTTTTAAAGCTAGGCTGGGCAAGGAACATCTTGATCCAATGCCATCATTATTGATGAAGAAGCTGAAGTGCAGAGAATGACTTGGCCGTGATGACAGAGCAAGCTTAGTGAGAAATACACCTAGAACCAAGTCTACTAGCTGGCACCCCCTGCTCTCTTTCAACTGCATCATCAGTTCTCATGTTGGAGTGTGTAAGAGTCACCTAGGGAATATGGTTCCCAAGCCTACACTAAGGGAGTGAGAATCCTTAGGTCTCATGTGGACTCTAGAAGTCTGTATTTTTAATGAGTTCTCTAGGTGATCATGATGCAGGTGGCCTGAGCCTGATTTTTTGAGAAAATCTACATTACTTCATGCAGTAGCTTCCTATTTACTTTTATAGAAAGACTTCTGGAGTTTTAACTGAGACATTATCCAAATGTCTAATCAAGGGGTAACCAAGGTTAAATGAGCTAATATAAGAGGTATTCTCCTTCCTGTTCTTCTACACCCAGACTATTTAGGCTTATTTATGGGTGGAAGAATTGGTATCAACAGTAAGAAAAAGCCTAAATTTCCCCTATGTTCTGACCTACATACTCAGCCACAGCATCTTCCCAGTAGGATGAGATCTAGCCAAGGCCTCCCTTTTCTCATTGGTCTCTCTGAAACCTTAAAAGCTTCAAGAAAAATTACAAATATTTTCTTTGTACAAACGGTTCTCATTTCTAAATCAATCTAAGCACTTTGTAAATATTCTGAACAGACATTCATCTAAGGTTCCTCTTACCAGGGTCCTAAAAAAGTGCACATGGAGAAATGGAGAAATTGGATTAAATTACAGGAATGGACTCAATAGAGTCACAATTGGAGGTTTTGTCAATTCTTGAGGCCGTGCTCCTTTTTGCTGCTTTATTACCTTTCCCGTAAAGTACCGGGAAAGGATTAACTAAATCATAAAAACCACTGTTCTTCAGCCACTGGAAGAACTTCCACTAGAATTGAACTCCCAAATACGAGGCAAAGCACAGCTGAATGGAAGCTACCTGAATCTCTGCCCCTTTCCCCCACCCCCAACAGGCTGCAGGTGTCAGACACGGCAGATAAAATAGATGCACTTCTTTTTCTTTCTGGGGTAGACAAGGAGCTGTGGCTAGCCTCTCCATTAAAAGTCAGAGAAAAGGTAGACTCGTCCTATTCGATTAGGACTGTCACCGTCACACAGTCGTTGCAATTAGTCCATGCCAACCTTATTCAGGCCTTGGCTTCTTTTCAGTAGTGAAAAAGGGAACACTCGAGGTCTGTTGAATCGGAGCGTGGCATCTGCCTCACAGCGAGAGGAGAGGTCGGGGTCAGTGCTTGATTTTGATAAAGCGTGCCAGATTAATTGTCTTCGGTAATCCTGTTTGTCATGGTAGATATGCAGAGGAGTCTTTGTGGCACAGGCTGACATATGGGGCGGCCTGCTGCTTGCCTATTCAGGGTTCCCAACACATGCTCTCTGCAGTTGGACTGGTTCCCAGAGCCTTGTTCGCCAGAAGAGTGAGGCCTCCTGCTCCTATTAAGCAGGCCCCATCTCCACCACTGGGCTTCCTAATCTTCAAGCCTGCCTGGGCTGTTGAAAGAGGCTGCATTATTCAAAAGAGGCCTAAAGAGAAAAGGGGGGCTGGGGAGGAGAGAAAGAAGGGGAACAAGGGGGAGGGGGAAACACAGGCGCCAGAGATAGGAGTGAAAGACTCTCCAGATTGGGGAGGGGGTCGGGGCAGAGAAATATAATTACAAAAAATAGCAGCCATGTCCTTTAGGCAGAGCACTTCAGGAGGCTGATTATAGCTCCTCTCCAAATCCGAATCTATCACAAAATTATACCCTGCCTCTTTTGTAAAATAAATGTTAATAAGAGGTAATTTGGGCCCTGCTGATTGTTAAATTCAATGGAGATAGAATTTTTTTTCTTCCTCTGTGTGTTTATTGTAATATCTAGAGGGCTTTTTTTTTTCTTCTTCCAACAAGAATATATATTCAACCACAAAAGATGAAACAAACATTCATTGGCCTGATGCAATTGCCAGAAAACTGAGAGTAGTTTGAGTTTTATGATAGAGTGAATGTATAGACTGGTAACTAGCCCTTCACTCCACTAGAACTTTGCAGTTGGTGTTTTCTGGAAGGAATATCCCCTAGAATTGAGAAGAGAGTGGCGCTCTAGGAAGAAGGGGACTGCCATTCCTCTCTAATAGAGGGAGGAGTGGTCCTTGCTCTAAATAGCTTTGCCTTTCTTTGATTTAAAAGCAGGACTTTTTTTTTTTTCATTTACATAATCATTATTTTGAGTTGCTGCCAATTCTTTTGGGGGCTTTTACATTTAAAAGCACAAAAAATAGAGACAATCCTGTGACAGAGCTTTTGAAAATGTTCTTACGATGTGTATTTATGAACAGATCCAGAAATGGAGCAATTAGAAACAATGAATAATAATCTTCCAGGCAGACAAAAGCATAGATGTATTAAAATATAAACCCTTGATCATAACAGCCCTGAAGCAGTCTTTCATGTATCTTTACTGTGTGTTCCTCACATCCACAGGGCAGAGGTCGAGGCCTGGCTGGGCCCAGGCGCTGTGGATGTCAAGGTCAGTATCTCGGACCACAGAGGGCTAGGCCTCCAGTTGTTTTCAATTCTTACACAAATGCTTTGAATATAATTTATTGTGATGATTGTATAATAAGAAACATCATTATTATGAGTTTCAAGGAGGACGTAATAGATTTTCAAAATTAAAAAAAAAAAGACATCATTCAACTATTCCTTTATTCTAGATATTAAAACGAGAAGCTTGTGTTCTGTGTTTTGGCTTTGTCCCCCTCCTCAAATCGGTAACTACAGTATACTTTTTGTTTTGGAGGGGGATACATATTTCAACATGAATTCATTTTGCTTTCTACCATGAAAAAGTCACTGGACTTAGAGCTGGGCGTGTAACAGGTATAGCAGCAAAGAGTCCCTGTGCTTGCAGAACTTATGTTATATGAGGGTTCACTCTTGTTTCACCAAGCATACAACAGTGCCAGGCATATTCTACGAATTCATTAAATTTTATTAATTCAAAAAAATTTTTTAAATGAATAAATAACAAAAATCAAACCAAAGCAAAATAATGGATATATCTAAGGTAAGCACCTTGGCTTAACTTATGCATTATATTATAAAGAATAAGAAGCAGCAGAAAGAGAAGAAAAGGAAGAGTAGAACAAAGAGAAATTAACATTTTGGGGTACATAGTCTGGGCGAGGTATGTACCATGTGCTTTATGAGCATTATCTCCTGTAATCGTTGAAGGAGCCTTATGGAAGGGGAGAGCAGACATTCTGCTAGTGCCCTCTGGTGCCTTTGTATCTGCCCATTAGTTGTGTGATTAAAATCACCTGATTACCCTTTAAAATGGGTTATAGCTGATGACCAAGCATCATTCACTTCCGAGGGTGAGGCCAGGACATCAGTAATGTTTAAGGTTTCCCAGATCATTCTGATGAGCATCCAAGGTTAAAAATCACTGATTTTAAGTTGTGTTTCTCAAATGTTATGCATACTCACCTGGGAACATTGTTAGGTTGATGTTTGGTGGGTCCTAGAAGTCTGTAGTTCTAACAAGTCTGCAGGTGATGCTGATGTTGGCTGGTTTCTGAACCTTCTTTTGAGCTGCAAGGCTTTGACGAGATTGAGCAATCTGCCCAGTGGCTGGCCTGAATTTCAAACCCTGGCTTTCCCAAGTGAAGATCCCGAGTTCTCGTGTTCCGTGATGTTACTGTGTCTCCTACAGATTTAAATCAAGCATTATGAAGCACAGTGCAACAGGAAGAACATCTGCAGGTAAGGAGGTCTGGCGCTTCATTACAGTTCTACTGCTCCTGACTTTGGGCCTTGCCTCCCTGAGTTTTGGGTTTTTTCTAACATATGGGGTGTGGAATTGATTGTAGTTGCTGCCCTTGGATTCTCATCACCAGTATGCTATGTCTGAGATCAGACTTTTCCTATAGGGAAAAATGCCATTTTAGGCAGAGCCAGTCTTCCTTCTTTCCTTCCTTCCTTCCCATCAATGAATGTATGTGTTTCATTCTCTGTTTCCTAAGATGAGGAAGATAGAGGAAGCACTGGTGTTATTGAAAAGGGTGCTTAGTTTGCCATAATCTCCAGAACATAGAATATCTCTTACTTCACCTCTGCATGTTTTTTATAGTACTACTGCTACTTGTGCATTTATTCATTAAAGAAAACACATGTAAAGGAAAACCGCCAAAGATATTTACACTTTAACATAATATGGTGCTTCCAGGACGCCCTGGAAGTTTGTTTAGGGGTGGAGAAAGAACAAACATAGAAATCAGGGCACTCTGAAGCAAGAGGTATAATACCCAGATGGGTGAAGCTCAGCTAGAAAAGAGAGACCCAGGAAAGGATAAATAGCATATCTTACTATCCTTCTAGGTGAGATTTCTGGGGACATCTGTTTCAGAGCCTTACAGCCTTTTCAGAGATTGGCACTGGAAGATCCCCCCTGAAGAGAAGGGAAAATGACCAGCACTTTACTAGCATCTTCTTCCGTCATTTTGGGATACCCTGAGCCAAACCCCTTTAAACCTGCGTGATTAGGCTCGGGGGGAGCCAGGTGCCCTCCTCTGTTCCTGAGGAGAACAGAGGCAAATCTTACCCATCTTCCTCCCATGCGTTCTATGCGATAACACAAAAGCATACCTGTGAATTCCTAAAATAAGTTAGTGTGGGACCCTTGTCTACAATACTTGGGCTATAGGTAAAAACTAGGCTTTGTATATTTCAAGAGAACCATGGACCCAAGTAAGCAACACTGTCTTCGTTTTATTACTTCTAAATTTACTTTTGACTTATTTATGTCTTTAAAAAAAAAATTGGCCAAAACGCTTCTTTGTGGATTTTCCAGTCAGTTTGACAAGTTCGCCTCAGAAAATGCCTGAAAAACAAGTTGTGGAAAAGCAGCAACCTTTTATCCGAAACACGCCCTATCAGACAGACGTGCATTTAGACTCAGTTTTCACGTGTCACTTTGTCTCCTCCAGATCAAGCTATAGCCTTGCTCACAATGTTTTTGCCAAATTGCACAGGTCAGAAATTATGTGTTGGGGGGAAAACCGCTCAAGGGAAACAGGAGGAGTAAATCATGTTTTATTTAAAGGGTAGCTTTCTTTGAATAAAGCATTATTCCTTTCAGGGCTGTGTCTAATGTTGAAGTTTAAGGAGTCTTGAAGCTTAGAGTGAAAACTTTGCTTATCTGTTTAGCCCTCCCCAGTGGGTGAAGGACTCTTAGGTTGGTTTTAATGCTTTCTGCCGACTCAGTAACACTCAGCCCCCTAATAGCCACTCATGCCGCTGGTTGTCCATAGAGACTGGTCAGGAGGACGGAGAACTGCATCATTCAGCTGGGTTACATATACGAGGGATGATCCTGATAAACAGTTATTGCCTCTGCCAAACAATAGCACGGGTAGAGACACCGCTTGATAGCCACCCTCACCCCATGGGATTATTTAAAAGCAGGTTAAGGAAAGAAATCTTTCTTCTGCCTGTGATGAACATCTCTCCCTAGGGGAAAGAAAATGAATCATGTTTATTTTTAAATCTTCCAGGTCTGAGCCTGCCCACCAGAGTTTCCCAATGTGCTTCCACAGTAGTCTAGCCTCTTGGAAATACAAGAACTCTAGAAAGATAAAAAGTAATGATTTGCCTTATTCTGCTGCACAACTTTCTTTATCAGACCCGGAGATTTCAGGCATTTTTGAGTTATTTAATCCGAGTACGGACTCTTTGCTTCCTACTTGCATGTGTTGCCCTACCTACCCCATGATTCCTGAGTCATAACTGGAAGGTTAGCTGCGAGAAAGGAGAAGAGACCCAAAGTGAGGCAAGCAAGTTGTATTCACCTGCCAGGCTGCCACATAACCATTAGAGGAGGGAGCCCCAAGCTTACAAAACCAGGGGTTTATATGGGGAGAGGGACATAAGGGAGTTTTGGGACTGAGATAATTTATTAGCTTGTAACCGGCAGAGAGATAGTTTGTTAACTTGTGGCAGACTTACATTATCCTGTGACTTTAGTGGCAGTAGTTTTAACAAAACAGGATTTTACAAGTATAGATAACAAACATTTGTTTTCCCTGTCCTTCCCCAGCTGCCCAGATGGCTGTAATGAGGCTTTGCTTAATTGTAACACCTAGTTAGGAGTTTGGGAATGCAGCTGCAGAGCAATCAGAGTGGGGTGGGGGCGGTTAGCTTGCTCAGAGGGAGTTTTCTGAGGCAGCTTGTCCCTACCATTCCAGCCTTTTAATAGGTAAGAGAAGAGGGGTGCTGTGGTTATTTGACTGCTTTTTGCTGGATAGGGGCGCCATTTGGAGGGGCCTAGATAGTAGGGGTGGTTGTTCCCGGAGCTCTTGGTGCTCAGTGTGCTTTTGGAGCAGCATTGTATTTTGTATTGTTCCACGGGTGAAAGCTGTAATACGCTTCTGTGAAAACTGGGGGAGGAGTTGTAAGAGACAGGGGCCAGATGCTAGAAGGAGGAAGAGGCTTATGGCAGGACCTGGGAGGGGCAGGAGCCGGGGTGCCCAGGAGTAATGGAACGACTGGGGCCACGCAAACTGTCTTTACGTTTTTGTGCTTGGTTTTTGAGCTTGATAGCATTTTGTACTAACCCAGATTTATTGAAGTAGAAACAGCATTGTTTATTTTACAAAGAGGAGGCACAGACTTTTTTTTTTTTTTGGGTGAAGTTTTGGGAGAATGACTGGAAATAAGATAATGAGGTTTTTAGGCTTTCTGCTTTTAATCTGACACTAGTTGGGAGTTTAAGGGCTACTGCTAGGGGAATGAACTGTATTGCTCTTTTTGAGTGAGTGCATAATGTAGCAGGCACAGGGAGTTCTTGGTTTGGAGAGACAAGGTTAACGCTGAGGGTAAAGTAAGAGCACATCTTCCCAGTTATGGCTTAGGGGCTGGGAGAAGTATCGGGAGACTGCTTGTCCTAGGACTCCTCAGATAGTTACAGACTTGGAGGACAACTGTCCAAGACAGGAGACGAAAACTGAGAAGGCTGCGCTAGTATCCAGGAGAAGGTCAACCTCCTGGCCCTCTATGGTCAGCTTTACCCCGGGCTCGGTGAGGGCGATGGATGGTTCTGGTGCTTGTCCCGGGCACCCTCAGTCCTGCTATTGGGTCATCTGGTTAGCCACCTCAGGCCCTGGGAACCTTCATCCTCTGGGACAGTGTGCTTTCCAAGGATCCCTTTGGCACAGTGGGCAAGGATGAGGAGGTGGTCCTTTCCTTTGGGAACAATCTTTGTTAAAGCATCCCAGTAGGCTGCAGTGGTAGCAAGCTCGGGCAGTCTGGCGACTAACACAAGCCTTTCCCCTTTCCAAGTCTCTTAGGTGTGCCTGCCTGAGGGCTAGGACTGAGTCTGTGGCCTTTTTCTGGTCCCTCCTGTTCCTTCAGCCCGTTCCTCCTGATCTCTGTTATAAAACACGAGGTTGCTAGATTTAGTAATGATTCTAGACTTTGTTCTGGCCCCAGGGCCAGCTTTTGGAGCCTTATTCTAATGTCCACTGATGATTGCATGATAAATTTGTCTTTTAGTATTAGCTAATTCTCTATGGAGTCTGGTGACAGGGGAGTATATTTTCTTAAGGCCTCCTGTAACCACTCAAGGAAGGCTGTTGGGTTTTCTTCCTTTTCCTGGGTTATGGTGGATAACATTGCTTAGTTCACAGGCTTCTTCCTGGTCCATCTTAATCCCTTAAGTATGGAGGTCAATAGGTGCCTACAGTTCCAGTCCCCATGTTCTGAGTGAGGGTCCCGGTGGTGGTCCACAGTAGGACTGCCTGCCAAAGTGTAGGAAATCTATCCTTTTCCTTTGGTGTCATTTAGTCATTTACATGACTAAGGTACGAAGTGTTCCCAAACTCTTGAGCTGCTGTTAGAGAAGCCTATCTCTCATTACTGGTTAAAGTCTGACTAAGCAGTAACATGATGTATTTCCAATTTAGTTCAAAGGATTGGTTTAGGCCCTGCAGAACATCTATGAACTTGTCCGGGTCATGTGAAAATATTCCAAAGTCCACCTTGATTTGCCTTAAGTCAGAAAGTGAAAAGAGAGCATGTACTTTGTTTGGGCCAAATTCTTCTCCTACAGTCCGTAGAAGGCAGAGTTGGGGCATCCTGGTATCCTGCGGTGCCTTGGACATTTTGGCTTTCCCTGACTACTCTTGGGTCATGGGAGTTGGGGAGAGTTTATCAGTATTGGTGGAGGGAGGAGGAACAGGGAGTCCTGGGTATGGGGGTAGTTCCAGGGAACAGCCATTAGGGCATAAGTTACAAGCGCTGAGGATTATCCCTTAGAGAATAAAAAACGTGCCCATAGGGGACCCGAATTCATTTACCTTCCCTTCTACAGAAAAGGTCTGATTGTAGAAGGGTGTTATAATTTATACATCCCTCAGGTGTCCAGGATTCTCCACCCTGCAGTGGGTATTGCAGCCATGCCGTGCTACAGAAGAAAATACGCTGCTTCTTCAAAGATAGTGGGTCAAATTGGTCGCAATTTTCCAGGATACACTTGAGGGGTGATTTTTGCCTTGGGAGGAGTAGCACCCATCTGAAATTGAACACTAAGAAGCCCACAGCCCTGTTTATTTTTTTGCAGCTGCCGTCCCTGGGGTGTCCCTCAGTTGTACAGCACTTGATACTTTTCCTTGAGCCCTAGATGCGTGATCATCTCATGGGCCTTTCCCATTTGCTGAGTTTAATCGTGCTTACTGGCACAATGGGCATGTCCTCACTGTGTAATATCC